TGAAGTGTACCTGGCGTATAAGACGACCCCCCACTTGGAGGCATATTTTTCAGGGCCAAAAAATCGTCTTATACGCCGGCAAATACGGTACCTCTTAATTTACTTAATAATGGCCCCAAGGCAGTGCAAGAGTAGTGATGCTGGCAATTTGGATATGTGAAAAAGAAGCCGTGAAGTGCTTTAAGTAAAAAGGTATGTATGCATAGGAAAAAAACAGTGTATGTAGGGTTTGTTACTATCCATGGCTTCAGGCATCCACTGAGAGTCTTGTAACATAACCCCTGTATATAAGAGAAGGCCACTATACATTGGAAAACATGATTCAAGAGTATTCATTACTGAAGTAAAACCTACTGAAATCACACAGTCAGCCACCGGTTTCTTCAAAGCATTTTCTGAAGTCTCTTTAAGCTTGGCCAACAGCATTCCCGTAACTTGCTCAATTGCAAAAGGTCTCTCTTCATCTAGGTACCGCACCTAAAACCAAAAGTTGAGAAATTTACTTAATTATCAAATATTCTGTGACCGTCTACTCCATACATGATGGACATACAACAGTGAAAAAGGCAAATTCCTTGCTAAGGAAGTTATATTCCAAAAAGATTGTTCTAGTATCAAAACCTCTCATTTCTGAAGTTTCAGTGCCTAACACATAGTATCACGACCAAATTATTTTCAAGTGTCTTTACCTGCTCCAGACCCCCACCTCCCACAAAAGCAATTTTTATCATTCAATTTCCTAGCTAACAATGAAGAAGAAAAAGAGAAAATAATCTTTCTTTTGAAAGTTAGAACTCTTCCTGGGTTTAAAATGAAAGCTATAGTCATGTAGTTTTGGGGAAAGGAAATGAGAGCATTAAGGGGAAAAAAAAATGCCCTTATTTTAAAAAGTATGTATTACTCCAAGCTTTCTGGGGATAATTATGAATTAAACTTTAGAGATGTGTATATGAAATTAATAAATTATTTTTTAGACCAATTATCCAATTCATCTTTTACACAGGTTTAAGACGAGGTTGCGTTTAAGCACATAAATGAAACTTTACAATGCGTCTTGACCAAAGCATACTGGAAGACCTGTGATTATTCAATTAGTCAAACCCTTCTATAGTGACAATTACAAATTAATAAGCAATACAAAGTCACTGTGGAGCCCATATAATGACTGTATAGAACTGAGGAAAAAGCACTGTCTTTTACCTCTGCTCTCTAATGGAGTGAGTTTTATTCTGTAACACTAAACTTTGGAAGAGCTTTAAAGCACTTCTATTATGTTTGCTAAGTGCGTATGCCTATGTATATGTAAGACTGACTTTGAAACAGACCTAAAATTGATAGCCATTTGTTTCCAAATCAATTTAAAAGCAAATTTAAAACCAAATATTAGATGAAATTAATGACAGTGGGAAGATGTCAAACACACTAAAATAAGGAAAAATGAATCAAATACCATGGTGTCAGTCTGATTACAGGAGGCACAACAATACAGTATTCTTTTGGATAAGACTATAAAGTTAGATGAAATACACATCAAAGTATATTCAAACCAAAGTAAAAAAAATGGATAAAATGCTTAAGGGGTCAAATTCTAAAGATCTTCAGTCTTCAAAAAATGAGGAAACTTAGTTCAACACAGAACTGACTGATGTTTTCAAAGTCTTTACATGCAACCACTATGACTGCATAAAAATTATATCATTCAAAAATTAGGTTTGGCTTTCTTTAAAAACTTTTATCCAGTTTTTCTCAAGCTTGCTTACAAAGCATGATTTTTTTTTTTTTTTAAGGAGGGCGCAGCTCACAGAGGCCCATGTGGGGACTGAACCAGGAACCTTGGTGTTATCAGCACCATGCTCTAACCAACTGAGCTAACTGGCCACCTGAAAGCATGATTTTTAATTTTTAAAGACTTAAAAGCAAAACATTGTCATTACCCTAAAAAATCATGTGCCTGTTAAGCAGTTACTCCCCATTCCCCCTAATCCCTAGCAACCACTTATCTACTTTGTGGTGTTTTTTTTTTTACTATCTACTATTTACCTGATTATGGATACCATATAAATGGAATCATACAATATGTGGTCGTCTGTATCTGGCTTTCTTTAGCATTTTTTTAAAGTTTATCCATGTTGTAGTACATATCACTACTTCACTTCTTTTTATGTTCAAATACTATTCCATTGGTTAGGTTTCCCACATTTTGTTTATCCCCTCATCAGTTGATGGACACCTGGGTGGTTTCTACTTTTGGGCTATTATGAATACGGCTACCATGAACATTCGTGTACAAGTTTTTGTGTGCATATATGGTTCAGATCCCTTGTGTATATACCTAGGAGTGGAACTGCTAAGTCATATGGTAACTATGTGTTTTGAGGTTTTTCTGTTAGTTTTTGAAAACACCACAGAAAACATCTTTTTATTAACTAATCTATAACTTACCGTCTCAGGATGTAGAATTAAAAATCCAGAATCCATCTCTTACTTGGAAGAAGAGTTTGCTTTACTACTTCTAATATGTTATAAGATGCTTCTAAATTAGAGAAAACTCAGTATGGCAATTCATACTTTATGGGCCTATTTTTCTAAATCATAAATGCCACCTCTGCCTTTATCCCTTAAAAATGGTTTATCTCTAAAAGTTCTCCCACTAATAATTTTTCCTTGATAGTAAAAGTATTGTTTGCATTAAGATTATTATCTAAATTAGAACTTTTTTGCACTCACTAAAGCTTAGTACAAAAAGTGGCTGTATCTTGCCATATGTATACTGCTTCCAGAGGAAAAAGTTGAAGTACAAGTAGGCAATATAATTGTACTTGGTTTCTTTCATTTAAATCTATGTGTGCACTCGGGGAACCCAAAGCTTACCTTCACTCCTGCACTTCCATTAGGCATCTTCTGCAGCTCATAGGGCAGCCTGATCCTTTCAGTCTGCACAATAGGGTCATCAAATGATCGTCCGTGAAGCTTTTTGAAGCCATGAATTGTATTTCTTACATTCGTGACTATCTGTTGAAGAACACACTTTAATATATCAATTACCTAATGAATGCAAAATAAACACGACACTAATACCTGAGAACCACCAAGTCTCTGCAACCTACATATCCAAGTTCAGAATTACACACATTCAGTTTTCTGCTTCCCAATTAATAATAAAATTATACAATGAGAATGTATGCATCTTAACTATTGCCCCTCCACACCCCAAAATTCTCTTCCTATTCTAGGAATGTTAGATTCAAAATTAATGTCTTCAAAAAAGAAAGAATAAAACTTTAAAATTTTTCAAATAATAAAAATCTATCCAGAGCTCCTCTCTGGTTTTCTTCAACACTTTTGCTCTAGTAAATTGGTATTTTTCATTTAATTCTTTCCACTTTCATTTCTGTGCTTTTATTTAATATGTTTTTTATTGTCCCATTTTTTCTTTTCTTCTGAATATCTGTTTGTGCAATTTCTCATGTACTACTTACTATGTTGCTTCTATTGCTAAGAATTGCTCCCAGATTAGTAAATTAAAACTCTTTCCATGTAGTGTGGTGCTAAGTTAAAATGTTTTAATTTGTAAATGGCTTATATTTTGGCAAAGTAATTTTTCCTTTAACTGGAACATGTAGCTCTAACTACAGACTATTACTGAGATCCAGTTGTTGCCCTCGTAGTGACCTTTAAAAGCCAAACAGAAGGCCAGCCAAGTGGCTCAGCTGGCTAAGAGCTTGCTCAAGAGTGCGAGCTCTGAGCAACAGGGTCGCCGGTTCGATTCCCAGCCTAAGCTGAGATGCCAACAGGTGGCAGGATGGCTCAGTAAAAAAAAAAAAAAAAAAGCCAAACAGATCATCATCTTCAATTATGAGATGCAAACAGCAAAGATGCTGAATTACCATGTTGGTTTTTAGCTCTTCAGGAGAATAACTTTATAGTTTGCTTTCTTTAGAGACTCTGATCTGTGACACACTTAGAAGATCAGCCAAAATATCGGATGTAAACTTTAGTGACGGGTTATTTTGGCACAAACTCAACATTTGTTTATGTACAATATGAGAGTAGAAGCAGATAAAAAACATGTTCACATATAGACCAATTATAACATAACATTGATAAAAATTGTAAGCAAAAATTCCTGGATAAATGAGTCAATTGCTCCTACAAAGTCATTTAAGAAAAAGCCCCATTAAATAAAGTTATTTTATAATGAAGAAAAGACACAAGTATATATTAAAATGTCAAAAGTAATTGTCAAAGGCTTTTGGTTCAGAGTAATAAACAGAGTCCAAGAAAAATGAACCTACAGCATGGAGCAGAAGTGAATGTGCTACCACAAGCATTTCAAAAGTCTATAAGTATGAATACTTAAACAGGTTCCATGACAAGTAGTAGTAGCCACATTGGGTTACTCTGGAAATTAGTTCCTGCATTATTCCCACCTTCTTTTACCAAGACATTACTCACCTGTTGTTGAAGTGAATATTCTAGATAGGATATAGCCTCATAGAAAGAGACTATACAGGGGAAAACTGATGTCTTATGATAGGACATCCTAACTTCACAAGATTTTTAATTAAAAAAAAATTCAAAAAATACTTTACAATCCAAAACGTATTTAGTAAAACACAAAAATTTAAGATGTTGTATTTTCCCCATTCTCTTTTTTCACTCTTAATTACATAAAATGGGAGCTTAGTTACCAAGATTAATTAGTTACCAGTTAATTCTTCCTAGAAATCACAACGTCTACATTAACAATTTACCTGGCTCTTAGCTGCATTTCCAATGGCTCGAGTTCTCGATCCCAACGATATACAGGCCCTAAAAAGGGAAAAACCACAAAGTTCGTTCCCACGGTATTTTTATATCAATGTGCTATTATTCTGCTTCTCTTTATACAAAAAATAAATTAAAAGAATTAATATAATCATGTATTATTTAAAAAATAGGTTACCAAATATCAGAATTTTACATATTTTTAAACATTTATAAGTAATAGAATAGTGGTCGGAATAAATGTTAAAAAATTTTTAAACGTGCTAATAGGTGACAAAACTATGTTGGTCTCCAAACCTGCTTTTCAAATTCTGTTAGCCTGTGACCTACTAATAAAATTACTGTATTCAGGAAGGACAGGCTGCCTGGATCAAAATCCTGCCTCTGCCACTTAACAGCCAAATAACCTGGTAGATAGTACCTAACCATTCTTTGCTTCAGTTTCCCATCTGGAAGACAGTGATGATAATACTTACTCATAGGTTTGTATGAAGATTCAATTGAGTAAATATAGGTAAATGCTTTGAACAATAAGATTGCTGTTTTTATTACTGCATTTATATTAATTCTTCTTATAAAAGCAAGGATAGAATAACATTATCATCAAAATACCATTTCATGTTATGATTCAAGAGAGTACTTCCATGATTTCAGTTGTAACTACAGGAAACTATTCTTTCCATCAACAAATAGTTACAGGCATTGTGTGCATACCAGCTACAATCACTGACTTTGGAGAATTTACAGTCAATTGAAAAAACAACAACAACATATAAAATAGGATTATGAGTGATATTAGCATAAAACCATAATAATCACTTCTAGATATTAAGGCTCAGAAAAAGCAAGTAGAAGGGGTGACTTCTGAATTAAGACTTGAAAGAAGTGAAAGCATTTTAATATGTAATGTTTTGTTGAGAAGGACATAGTGATCCTCTTAAAGACCAAGGTCATGCAACTCCTCTGCTGAAAACCCTCCAGTGGTGTCCTGTTTCACAAAGTAAAAGCTTAAGTCTCTCAACAGCCAATAAGGTCTGGTCCTTGGCTGCTCTATCCTGTAAACTTCAACCTAGGCACACTGGTCTTGCTATTTCTAGAATAAGGAAAGCACGCTTTTGCCTCAGGGCCTTTGTACCTGCCATTCTCTCTTTCTGGAACACTTCTAAATATATCCACATGGCTTGTGCTCTCCAACTACTTGCATTGTCTCTGCTCAAATGTCAGCTTATCAGAGATACCTTTTCTGATTGTCTTATGTAAACCACATTCCTCCCCCACACATACATCTCCTACTGTTTTTACCCAATTTTATTTTTCTTCACAATGTATCACCATCAAATATAATTTATTGACTGTTATCAACATATTGGGGTGTGAACGCCACAAGAATAGATAATGTATGCCTCACTGGCTTGATCAGCACTGTCCAATACAGTAGTTACCAGCCACATGCGGCTAGTAAAATTAACTAAAATAAAAAATTCAGTTCCTCACCATTAGTCACATTTCCAGTGCTCGACAGCCAACTTTCAAGTACTTAACAGCCACATGTGGCCAGTAGATGTCCAGAGAACAGAATATACATAGAACAGAACAGAAATACAAAAGAATACAAAGTTCTGCTCTACAGAACTGGCCTAGATCATTATCTGGTACACAGTAAAAATACTTACTTAATGAATGGAAACATAACTCCTAAGGGTAATGCTTATTCGTAGACTAGGAAGAATAACTTAGCTAGTTTCATTGGACATTTTGATATTATCAGGGCCAGAATATACAGGGTCTCAAGTGACAGATAATAAATTTGAAATTTATTTCAGTAGGTAATAGGAACTCATTAAAGGCTTTTGAATAATGGAGAGAACACAAATAATACAAAGTGAAGAGGAAAGATCTCAGAACACTGCTTTTCAAGGATTGAACAAGACACTGTTTTATACTGGTGAACAATGGATTTTCAGGGACATCAAGCAGTTAAGTTCATTTAGTCAAATTAACAGATGTTCACTTAGTACCTACTATATGCCTGGTACTCGGTTAGTTACTAGAAATATAACAATGAGGGGGAAAAGACATGGTTTTTGGCTCTCTTGTAACTTACAGTACTATGGACTCACATAAATGAAAGTAAACTAGGTGCCACAACAGAGGGTACAAATAGTGCTGTGAGAACAGAAAATAGCTGGAATTAATCTAGAGGAGGATCAGGAAAGGCCTACCAGAGGAAGTGATGAAATGAAAGAGTACATGAAGATGAGACGGAAGTAGGGGGAGAGTTTGGTAGAGATGGTTTTGACTACAGTTCGAATTGATGTGAGGAGAACTAGAAGTTTTCAGTAATCTATATCAGGATGGCAGCAGCTGAGACAGAAGAAGAAGGAATTAGGAGATATTTAGGAGGACTGGGTGATGAACTAGATCTTCACCACCCAAAATGGTAGCCACCAGATACATGTGGTTATTAAGCATGTGAAATTTGGCTAGTCTGAATTGAGATATAAGTGTGAAATATACTCTGGACTTTGAATATTAAATATTTAAGGAATGTAAAATATCTCAATTTAAAAACACTGATTAGATGTTGAAGTAAAATTTTGGATATACTGAGTTAAATCAAATATATTAAAAATAATTTCACCTCTTGCTTTTTAATGTAGCCACTAGAACATTTAAAATTATGTATGTGGCTCACATCATATTTTTATCAAACAGTGCTAAAATAGATAATAGAAGAGATACATGTCAAGAATAATGTCCAGGTTTGCAGTATACATAAGAGGATAGATAGTGATGCCATCAACGAGACAGATAACATTCTAAGAGGGACAGGTTTGGGGAGGGACCATTACAAGTTTTACTTTGGACATATTGAGATTGAAGAACCTCTGATATATCCATGATACATAATTAGAACTAAAATGTTAAAAGTGATGGACAGATATATGTAAGATGCAATGGAAGTTACTGTTCTCTAATAAGGATATAGCAGGAATCATTGGCTCAGGTGAAATTTTCACAGCTCTTGGAAATGACTCCTGAAATAGTTATTCGACATAGTCTCTGCCAGAGTAGACGTTTCCATACCAATATGACATTCCATCCTAAAACTCATCGGAGAAAATATGGATTTGCCATCTCTTAGCCTATTTATAATCTTTCTCTCTAAATCCATTCTTTGGACACACTTCTGAATACTTTTAACTTTTCAATACTGGACTATCATCACTTAAGTCCACAGAAAATCTTATTCTTCGGTTGATTCTCAAGAGTTTAACTTCTGTTAGAACACCAGATCCAAATAAGATTGATTCAATTATCATTTATTAAGCTAGAGTCTTTAAAATATGCTCCACCCATATCACTTCACAGATAAAACTAAACAGTTACCATTATTAGACAGTCTCTTTAGTTACATTTAGAGTTTAGTAGACATTTAAAATTTAAACTACTTAATGTTGTATCTTGGAAATACCCAGTTTCAATACAAAGAAAACCCTTCTCAAATAACTAAAGGTCTTCAAATTCCTTTCTTCCTTCAATTTTTTGTCAAAAAGATTCTAGAACACAATCATTAAATAAATATCTGCCAAGGATTTTTAGAAAAATCAAAATAAATACCTATTCTTTCTCAAAATTTTTACCTAACTTTAATACCAAGGGAAGTAAGCACATTATACCACATATTAGGCATATATAAAAGTTTTTATAGGAAAGGATATTCAATTGTTTTATCTAAATGTATATCATATAATCCATCTATATTACACTTTTACAGATTATGTCAACTACTATTTAGAAATTCCATTTTATATCTACAACAAACAAAATAGGAGTGTTTACAATGCAGCTTATAATATCCAATTTGATGTTGCCACCAGAGTGGTAGTCCCAGATTCTCAGAGAATACCGCAGAGCTCCAAACAAACAAAACTTGTAAATGTCCTATGGCACTTTTAGTAGAGGAGGAGCATAAAAATCAAGCATGTTAAAGAATGAAACAAATGTGAAAAAGTATGGATGCTGAAAACCAACTTAATCGAACACTGCCTTCCAGAATCCTTTTATAATGCATTTGCATCTTAGAAATACCTGTGTCATATTACCTTGATGTTGGCAACTGGGATATGGAAAACAATTTTTTGAAAAGCTATGTTTGTATGTATTATTAAATACTGTGGCGTATTAGAAAAGTTACAGTTCCCTTAATAGTTATAATGCTTTCTGCAAGATAGGCATTCAATAAGTAAGTATCCAGGGATCAGGAATGGTGTGTTTTCACTCAACAATTTAAGACCCACAAAGTAAATATACACTGTAAGAGCACTGCACTACAATGTACTAGTTCAGGAACAATAATAGATAAGTTCCTGAGGTAAATGACAGTACACAGCCACGGAAAGAAGTGCAGGGTTGCTGATGCACGCTAACTAAGAATGTGATCCTTCCACCTTAGGAAATTTCTAGTCTGTTAGGCTCATTCACTGTAGATACTAGCAGTGGCTCTCTTACACACAAATCAGAAACATATTAAATCTCAGCCACATAGAGCTAGCCAATGTGCCTAAGAGCAGGAACAAAGAGAACTCCAGAAGACTCAAATGAGCAGCCTAATTTTTAAAGAACACTCTTTGTAAGTCTAGCCAGGCTCTTTAAAGAGTCATGGACTCACGACTAAGATTTCGGAGACTGGAAATGCAGTATCTGTCTTACAGTTCTGGTTTCTGATCTTTTAGGATAAAGCTTTCAGGATCAGGGGAACGTCCGACCTGCCTCTCATTTTTTTCTCCATAGGTTAAGTCCCTAAAGCCGAAGGCTGCTCCCATTAGCCTCTACTCTGCTAAAAGAGGAGAGTGGAATTTCCTGGCCCTTTTCTGGCAGATGCCTATACATGTTGTGGCTTAAAACAAAATTTTGTACAGATGAAGTCATAAACAGTTCACAATTGCTGCTTCAGCCTCTCATTGTGCATGAACACCTTTAGAAAAAGACATAAAAAGGAGAAGAGCTCTAACAGTATTATGGAGATTAACTGACCATATTTGAGAATATAAAGAACCAAAATTTCAATAGAAATATAAAGCATACATCTGGAAGAGGTTATGTAAGAATTTTCTAGAATATTTTGTCAAAGAAACCAAAGCACAGACTGCTTCAAGTAAGCTACTCTTCAACATCACCTTGAAGTATTTAAAAATTATTCATAGAATTTTAGTAATTTAATCATTTAAAGGCTTAGCTTAACAGTGATCTTGGTTAAGATTAGTCTTATATTTAAACTATTATACTTTGGACCATTCCAAAGGGTCCAATTTATGTTTAGTTACCTTTCAATGAAAAGTAAGACATGAACAGTTGGCTTCCTCATAAAAACACCCGTAACGGGAGCCTACAGTAAGAAGCTGATTTTTCATATCCCTGTCTTAATTGTATTCTTTGCCAACAAACTTCCCAGACCAGACAAACAATGGAACATGTGGAAACATGTTTCCATGACACAATGCCACACTCCTTTTAAGTCTTTCATCAAGTGTTCATAATAGAATCACTTCGCAGTGTTTATACAGAACAGCCGCCTCTGACTCTCCAACAATTCATTCTGTACAAATACGCTTTTGATAGGTTCTAACTCCACCACTGTCTATTCAAGGACGTACATGCCCAATGCGAGGCCCATGACTCCCATCCCTGATTCTCTCGCTACTGCACCATTAACATGCGCCCCTGGAAACCAGTCCCATTATCTCGAGTTCTCAAGGACACTGGGGGAAAGCTCTGCACAACTCAACCGCTTCTCTAAAAAACAAAGCAAAAAAACCCCCGGCTTTCTGGGCCAGATGAACCTGCAACTCGTCTCCTGATGCGTGCAGTGCAAGCTTTCACTTACTACTTTTCTGCGAGAGCTGTCACGCAGAGCGAGATGGGGAAAGGAGGAATGGCAGAATGCATGCAGAATTCTTTACTCTGCTAGCGGGGATGCCCGCCCGCGTCCGATAACCACCCCCATCCCCCCAAGCTCCATTAGAAGTAACGAGAGATCTCTCTCCAGTGTTCTGGACGTCGAGGCGGTCCCACATCAACCCTTTTCCGGAAACTAAAGCAGGGCCGCTGGGGAGCGAGGCGAGGGCTGCGGGTACCGAAAGAGCAGGTGCGCAAACTATCAGAGGAAGTCCCTGGTCCTGAAGGAAAGACAGCTTTGCCGGCAAGCCGTCCGACCCCCACCTGGGCCCGCCGACCAGCAGGCTCTCGGGACGGCAGTTGGTGGGCTGCACCTGTCATTTTAGGGTTCGTCGCGCATCCCAAGAAGCCAGCAGGCGGGATAAGGGTCGCAGAAAAGGTTTCTCAGGCGCGGGTCAGGACCAGACGAGGTACTTACGGGGTACACCTGTCGCTGTACTCATTGGCGATGGTCTCGATGCCGCCGCTCCTCGCTACAGCGATGTAGCAGTTGAGAAAGCCGAGGTCAATGCCAACCACAGACATCCCGAAGCCTAATGATCGGGGTGCTGGTGCTGAAGCCTCCTGTGCGGGGACCGCGTCTTCTTCTGGGCTGTTGCTCCTGCGATTGCGACTCCTACGAGAAGTAAAGGGGAGGTGACCCGAGGTCGCTACGCATTAAATCTGGGGCAGCACGTCGAGCAACCGCGAAGGAGATGGTGGCCGCCGCGCCGCAGCCTCCGCAGCCAGGGTCTCTCTTCACTGCGGCTCCGCCGCCTCCAACCGGCAGTTACTGAGGTCTGCGCCTGCGCGCACAGCCGCCGGGGAGGCACACGAGCCGCCGCTCCGCGCCCGAGGCCGCTCCGGGTCTCGGCTTCGGCTGCTTCCGTCAGCGCTCGGGCAACGGCTGCCCGAGGAGCTGCGGGTTCGAGAAAGATCTGGAAAATGGAGGCGCGGAGCCAGCCGGGGGTGGGCGGGGAAGGCGGAGCGCGGAGGGGACCAGGGAGGAGGGGACACGGCGTTGGCTCACTCGCCCTCGCGCGGCCGCTGGGCGCAGTGCGGCTGGGCCGGGAGGCGGCCGCCGGGCCGGCCGGTGCTCCGCCAGCGCCCTTGGAGGCACCCTCGGGCTGTTGTTGGCAACGGCGGCCACGCCTGGTACGGCGGCTGGACGCTGCCGGGGCCTGCCCGAGGTCGGGCGCGCAGGCGGGCACCTCCTCCCACGGGCCGCCCGCAGCCGGAGCACCCACCCGCAGGCCTTGCCGCCCCGAGGGGCCCATGTGCCACTCGCAGGAGCGCTCGCAGTGTGGTCCGCGCTCCTGCCGCCCGCCCACCGCCGCGCCGGGCTCTATGAGGTGGCGCCCATTGTGCGGAGCGGCGCTGGCCGCCAGGCCTGGCCTCGCCCCAAGGGGCGCTGCTGATCCCGGGGAGGTGTCCTTTTCGCTTCAAAAGCTACGTCTTGTGTGAAAGCCGGTTGAACACATTTTAGGTGTTTCTTTTGTTTGCTTTTTGTAATCCTTACCAGGGCTTTCAGTACCCAAACCAAACTGGCAAAGCATACTGACAACTTTCCCTTCATGTAACTTCCTTCCCATCATGCTAAAGATGCAGCCGCCTCCTCTAGCCTTTACCTCTGAAGACCAGTTTTACAGGAAGCGACCTTACGTGTGTCTGTGTCACTGTGACACCTGGCAAGCCTGGGCAGCGCCTCCAGCCTCTGCCCTTTAAAAGGCTAGAAAGTGTGGTCCAGCTTCTGCATCTGATGTCTGAAATGTAACAAAGTTCTAGTTTGCACTTACGGAGCTTGGCTGTCCTGTTCCTTCTGGTTCAGCTCTTCAAGGGTTTCCGGTTCGTTCTCGTTCAAGTCCTCGTGTGTTTCGCGTTCCTTCTTGCCCACTTCTGTGGATGTTTCCTGTTCCTTCTCATCCAATCCTTCGGATGTTTCCTGTTCCTTCTCGCTCATTTCTTCCTGTTTCCTATTTGTTGCCATCTTGAAATCGAATTGTTGACCAGCCTTTTCAGTCCTCGTACTGTTCCACTTTGTCAACTTCTTAAAAGAATTTATGGTTTTTACTACCATCAATGCTGCAACTGCAACAGCTGCAAGTGTGGCTATACCTCCTGCTGCAGCTATAAGGATCATGAAATTCATTTTCAAGGGCAATACTGACTCTGGTCTTTCTCCATTCAAGAATCACACCTCTCTTCCATTTCACAAGCACGAAGGAGCAGCAGCAGCTCCCGGTCGACGCCTTTATCAGGGACGCTGCAGGCTAGGGGTAGGGGCTTCCCGGCAGGCAGTGCGTCAAAAGAGCCGGGATTGGGTACCGGCTCCCAACAGAACCCAGGTCCCTAGCCTACCAGACAGCTCAATGGCTTCGACCCACACCCTCTTCAACTGCCTCTTCAGCCATCGTCCTTTTGGGTCCACTACCATCTAGATTTATTACAGAGGATCTTGAAACTCTCCCAGGACCGTTTATTTACAATGCTTAACCGTCTGTAAAGCTTGAGGGTGTGAGAATGATTTTTCTATTAAAAAACACTTAAAATACCAAAATAAAAATAAACAGTTCATGTCAGGAGCAAGGGATTGTTATCATCACATTCTTTAAAATTAATGGGAGGAAATGCCAATACCTAGTGACTAAAAGCATGACTGGCTTTGGGGTCACGGAGACTTGGGTTGTTATCGTCATAGGCTCGCCCAACTTACTAGCAGTAAGACCTCAGTCAAGTTACTTAACTTTAAAAAGAAAATAAATGACATAAAAAAGAAAAAAATAAGGGGCAATGGCACAGAAGCATCAAAGAACATACTGTATTTGGGGAATCAGAAGTTACTCGTATATCTAGAAGGACAGATAAGATGTATAGCTGAAGTCTAGAGCTAGATCATGAAGAATATTTTATGCCATGACAATAACTTTTATCCTGTAGGCAGTTTACCTTTCCAAGGATGAGGATCCCTTTTTATGTAAAAAAATATACATATGCCTCCCAAAGTAACTATTTTTTAGCATTTATTGAAATAATGTCTACATACTACTGTAAGTACAAGAATACTTCAACATTTACCTGTATTTGGTTAATGCCCAAAGCTTGTACATATATGAAAAATGCTACATATGTATAAAATCTCATTTTCAAATCCAATTTTCAATTTTAATGTGCATATTAAACTTAAATTACTTACAAGAACTTCCCCCCAACATCCCCCCAATCCAGATGACCTACAGTCAGGATGTACTGCTATAACGTATTGAGAGACACTGAAATAGATGAAAACTGACACAATCAGATTAGTTTTAAAAATACTTTGGCAGCAGTGTTAAGAATGGGTTACAGTAATAAGTGGATACACGAGGGTCACTTAGGAGACTGTGGCAGACTCCTAGCTGTCTTTCAAAATCTATTCTTTTGTTTTTACATATGGCTGCTCAACTACAGACTATATGCCCCACCCTTCTATAGCAAAATATGGCCATGTGACTATAAAGTCTCACCGATCTATATATGCGACATGTGCAACTTCCTCACCTGGTTAAAAATCTCTTCCACCTGCCCCGATTTATCTTTCCCTTTTCTACAAATGGGGACACAGATTAGCCAGAGACCTAGCTTTGACTATGTAGATGATTACAATGCTCTAGGGTGGGGTTCTTTTCCTGGGGTCCCCAGATCCCCATAGAATACATACATAAATTTAAGGGGCGGAGGGTCTTGAACTAACCTTTAATTAAATTGTACATTTCTTTCAATTATGAATGTAGACACAAATCACAGTAGTAGTAACTATGTGATTTTTCATACCAATAGAAATTAGATATTTTCATACTATATTGTAATTCTTCCATATACTATTTCAAACAACATTTATGGTCATCAATACTATGAAATTATAGTAATTATTACAACATTGGATCTTGCTGTAAATGTGTTAAAAAGAAGCACATATTACTATAACATAAATTTGTATTTTTTTACTATTTTAATAACCATATTTCAAATATTTCCTTTAATTCTATGTATATTAATTTATGCATTTTAAAACTACTGTAAGGGGTTCATAGGCTTTACTAGAGTGAAAAAGGTGTCCTTGGCACAAAAATGGTTAAGAACCCCTACTCTTAAGAGATTAGAACTAACAGACTGAAAGGAAGGTAGGTCTGAAGGAATTCACGAAGAGATACCCTGCTATCTTTGACTGCTTACCTACCAACTATTATTTACTAGAAACACTTATCTTAAACCACAGTATTTTTGAGTCTGTTACAGCAGCTTAGCCTTTACCCTCACTGAGGTTATTAAAATATCTTGCATTAGTGACAATGAATCCTGAATTAAAGAATGACAGTCAAAACGGAAAGAAAATTTTTAGGAAGCAAAATTTTAAGAGTGGGTGATCTGTTTGCTATATGAACTGAGGTAGAAGAAAAGCAAAGATGACTGCCAGGTTTCCAAGGTGTGCGACTGGTAGAATTGTTATGTATCAAGATAAGGGTTATGGAAATTTAAGCAGGTCTGATTTGATACAATGAGTTAGGTTTTAGTACAATAGAAATGTAGGGTTAGAGAGAACTCTGTGATACATACAGAGAAAGGGCTGCAAAAGACATTTGAATTGCATTTGGAAACTCTTAAAGAGGGCTAGGCTAGAGAGAAATCTGAGTGTCACTGGCATACAGATGGTAACGAAAACTAAAGGTATAGATGAAATGAACTGAGGCGCATAAATAAAGTATAAAAAGAGCTTAGGACGAGCACCTGAAGGATATTAATATTTAAGATAATGGTAAAAGAAAAGGACCCTTTGGATTTACATTTAGGTCCATAAGGTAAAGAGGAACAAAGGTAGCACAATGTTTGCATATGAACAAGGGAACTATTCCAGGACATAATGTTTGTATATGAATGAAGCAATTATTTCAGAAGTTTAAGTTTCAAGCCTGCCAACGTTCTATTACTATAAAGAATCCATCCAGATTAGGTATATGAAATAGTAAAAATTTATTCAGTGGCTTCTGACCTAATCTTAGGAGATGTTTTTGTTTCTTCCTCTCTCTCTCTCTCTCAAAACCTGCTGCGAGAAAACAATGTGAAATGCACCAAAATAAATGTAGTTTCAGTAACTACAAATGACTACAAACTTAAGGTTATCTTTTTTATGGAGGATGTATTTTAATGAGTTAAGTAAAGATAAACTAAAAGAATGAAGCACTGAGAATGGAATTTTAGGATTATTTGGACATATAGTTTGAGGGTAGGAAATTTAAAATCCTACCCAAGAAGATGCAGCTCTAGTAACTTAACATGAAAACTATACACATTTAAATATACTTTAGCTATGCATTTTTCCAACATTTGTGTTAACATATAAAAAATTATTTCCTGAGCAGCTGGTTAGCTCAGGTGGTTAGAGCGCAGGCTCATAACGCCAAGATTGCCAGTTCGATCCCCACATGGGCCGGCCACTGAGATGCGCCCTCCACAACTAGATTGAAACAACTACTTGACTTGGAGGTGATGGGTCCTAGAAAAACATACTGTTCCCCAATTAAATTCTTAAAAAAAAATTTATTTCCTTATGAAATCTCCATTATGGTTTTGCTCACCGTAAGTCATAATATACAGTTTTGGCTCAGTCCAGGATACTTAGTAACATTTTACTTTCTTTTATCCTAACTATATGTATCTTCCAGGCTTCACAGAATAAGCTTCTGGTCTAGTGATTTAGTAGTTAAAATTCCTATTTACATGCCATCCATGCCATTTGAGATTTTAACAATTTCTTTCCACTAACATATCTCTGTACACATGGAAAACTTTTATATTTTCTTAGTTAATCTTTATATGGGTGACTATTCCTAACATTTGATTATTTTAATTGCTTTTCTTTGGGGCATCATAAATCTTCATTTTGGCAAACAGAACTACTGGTAGTGCAGAAGGAAAGGACAATATTCTCTACTTTGTTTCTATAACTTTCTGTGTTATGTTGACCACTGCAAGAAATCATGTTGATAGTTTTCAAGAGTTATTTTTTTTCTCAAGTGATAAACCAATGTATTAAAAAGCATAGTTTGAATTATTTTCCTTGAAACATAATTACCCTTGTGTACCAGGAAGTTGACCGACACCCAATTTTGCCCACTCATAGACTTACAAAATCTTTCTATAGTTTATCCCCACTAGCTTAATATCCCTTTACTCACCAAAACTTTAAAACCTTGAGTATTTCAAATGTACCATCTTCTACAACATTTCTGAAAAACAAAACAACTCCTGTATAAAACCTTGGAAACCGTTTTCTGTCTTCAAGCCAATTCCCAATTATGACAAAAATTTTGTTATTCTCTGCTTATTAATAAAGTTAAAATCAAGGAGAAAAGGCTCAGATATAAGTTTTAATCTTCCTTTATTATCAATACAGAGTACACAAACTAATTTCAAGGGGATTTTTTTTTGTTCCAAGATATATTTACATTAGCAAGATTTTATTTATTTTAAAGATAAAATCATCTATGCCATTTTATATCTTTTATTTTCCAATTACAGGTTTATAGTTTCATTAAAGTCATTATCAGGGTTTTTTTTTATGATCTGATCTAGAATCTGTGCTTATTAAGAGCTATATGATGCCATAAACACTATACTTAGTAATACTCAAGCTGTCTTACTAGGCATGTTGTAGAAGAAAGCTTATTTATGCCCACTGATATGATAACATATCCGATAAGCTTTTAAGAAATATTGGTCATATCATATGATTTTAAAAGATGGGTAGACAGTTACAGTAAAAGAATAGCATTTTAAAAGAGCAAACTTTCATTTCTTATATTTTAACATTATACATTTTAATTTTTATCACAAAAGTAAGAAAAGGATTTTAAACTAACAGAAATAACATATACTACTTATAATAAGTAAAATCTCTTATTAAAGTGAGTTTCAGTCTAACTGGGAAGGAAACCCACATTTATCTGATTTTTAGTATGTAAACCCTTGAAAAAAGCTTATGCTTTATTGCAGAATTACCATTTTAAAAATTGCTATCAAAATGTATACAGATGGCAGCTATGTAATCTGTATGTTTAACAAGTTAAATATATGCATTTAACAATTTAATCTGATGAACTACCTCCAACATTAATATTAAGGAATTCTTTAATTTTATCATACAATACCAAAACTAAAGCACCCCCTGTACCACGAAGGACATTGGAGAACGCGCCACGAAAAAATGCATTGACTCCCTCATGTTGGTATATCTTCACAAAGCAGTCTAAAGTTCCTTTATATTGCCGTTCAGCTTCACCACTCTATATAAAGAAAGACAAATAATTTGCCATTATCTTCATAACTTTTATCTTAAGATAGATTTTCCTCAGCACTAATATAAAAGTAACACTGTGTTGAATAAGCATGTTGAGTTAATGCACATATATACTGAATACTTTACTTATGGTTGGAGAACACTCATACTTTTTAGGCACTTAAAAACTAACCAATTTCAAAAGATGGCATCACATACAATGATTTATCTTCTCACCACATTGCAATGAAGTGATAATTCAATAGCAAAAAAGGTAACCAGAAAAATATCGTATGTTTGGCTATTAAGAAAACACATCTTAGAAAATATTTAAAACCTAATAACCACAAAACTCCATTAACTAAAATTGTAAGATGCAGCTTGAGTGGTAACTTATAAGAACATTAATGACCTTGAAATATTAGAAAGGAAAGGCTGAAAATTAATGAACAGACATTCTTAGAAAAAAAAATCTAAGGTAGAAATTTTTTAAAAAAGTAAAAATAAAGGAAACAGAAAATAAACACATCAGAAAGCATAAAAAGCCAATAGTTATTTTAAATAATTTACTGACAAATTTCTGAAAACATTATTTGAGGAAAAACAAGAAAAGGCCCTTATACTATTAAAAAGGGCCCCCGAATTATTAGAAATGACAAAGATAACATCACCATAAATGATCCAGAGATTAAGAACAAGATATTACTAACAACTTCATGACAATTATTTTGAAAACTCAGGAGAAACTGATGAATTCCTTAAAAGGCATAATTTACAACAGAATAGAAAAAAATTAGGAATAATAAATTCATTAAAGAAATTCAATCAGCTGGTAAAAATCTTCTCATAAAGAAAACCATGTGTCCAGATGGCTTTATATGTGAGCCCTACCAAACATTCAATGAGATTTCATGCTAATCTTACATAATTATAGAGAAGAGAAAAAGTGGGAAGACCCCAACACATTTTTTGAGGCTTGCATGGCCTTGAGACCAAAATTAGACTAGGGCAGTACAAGAAGGAAAAATTCCAAGCCAATGTCACTGAAACTGGATGCAAAACTCCTGAATAAAAACTAGCAAATCAAACCCAGTAAAGGATACAAAATACAAAACATCAAGACCAAGCTGGGTTTATCCCAGGCATATAAGGTTGGTTTAGCTCAGGACAATAGATTAATTTAATATATTAACATATGAAAGGAAGAAAATGTTATGATCATCTCAACAGACCACCATTCATGATTAAAAACTGTTATAACCCAAAACAGAAAGGAACAGCACAGCATGAAAAAGGGTAACTACAAAAACCCGACAGCTAACATTAAATTATGTAACACTGAACACATTCTCTGTAAGATTAGGGACAAGACAAGGTTTCCAGTTATTATTTCTTTAATATAGCACCAAATCAGAGGTCTTAGGCAGTGCAGAAAAGCAAGAAAAGGAAATAAAAGGTGTAAGAATTGATAGTGAAAGGGAAAAACCTGGTATTATTTGCAGATTATATACCTGTGTGTGTAAAAAAAAAATCTTCAAAGAGTGTACATGTAGATTACTGTTTGTGATTGCTTAACAAAGTTGTGAGATATAAAATGAAAATACAAAAATTAAAGAGTACTGTTATGGGCTGAATTAAGTCCCCACAAAATTCATATGTTGAAGTCCTAACCCCCAGTACACCTCAGAATGTGACTGTATCTGGAAACAGGGTCGTTATAAAGGTAATTAAGGTTAAATGAGCTCATTAAGGTGAGTCCTCATCCAATATGTCCACCTTTATAAGAAAAGAAAGACAAAGGATTATGGGAAGACAGGAAGAGGACGGCCATCTACAAACCGAGGAGACAGGCCCTTAGAAGAAGCCAACCCTGCTGGACACCTTGACTTGAACGTTTGCTCTCCAGAACTATGAGAAAAAAATTTCTGTTGTTTATGTCACCCAGTCTATGGTATTATGTTATGGCAGTCTTAGAAATACACTAAATATGCTAAAATACAATTATTTGACAGTAAGTTGCAGATATCATGACCCTTATCTTTAAACACTTCAGTGTGCATTTTCTGAGACTATTTTCTTGCATATATCTTGTTATCAAAATCAGAAAATTTAACGTTGATACAGTACCATTTACTAATCCACCGTTGATATGCTTGATTTTCCATTTAAAAACATTTTCAATGTATTAAGCTAGAGCTAGATACAGATCAAGAAGAAACAGATGTAAATGAAATAATTTTAAGGACAGTTCATGAAGTAATAGATTAGATATGCTTTTCCCTTTCAGGTGGCCTACTGAGTTCTTCCAGGACCATTTTATAGACATCAAATGAGGATAATGATAGCAACTACACCTCTTGGCATTGTTTTGAGAGTTAACAAGTGTAAAATGCTTTGGACAGTATCTGGCACTTCAAGCATTATATTATTTTTCCAGTTTTCTGGCCTCATTTTTGCTTGCCCTCATGAAACCTTTAGTCTGGTAGACTGAACTACTTCTCAGTCGCACCTCTATGTATTTTTTTCCCCCTTTGCTTGCAATGTGCTCTCGTTATCTGGAGAAAAAGCCTATTTACTAAGATTCAGCTCGCCAAGAGGCCATATCTGGTCACTTTAATCATTTGGGCACCCCTCCTCTATTGCATTCCTGGAACCTATGCAAACTTCTATTTACACCATTAACTATATGCCTTCAATAATATGCTATAAATTTGGGGACAGGTTCTGCCTTATTTTGTGTTACCCTAGTTTAGCATAGACTAAATACTCAAATATTTGCTGAATGAATGAATCAAGTTACAGCAATGGAGACTGAATGCATCAAAATTTGGGATTGGGGTTTTATATTTAGAATATAATTATAAACAAATTTTATTAAAACATACTAGAATAAATGATGACACACATGTCAATGGCTTGTGACTGGTCTTCTTCTACTTCATCTAATATTCAGTTAAGATAGACATGCTCATCCAATCCCTGTCATTCCCTTCCACCCCAAAAATAATATATTGCTATTGGAGTGGAAGACATTTCTGTTCTGATGGCATACAAGGAAGAAGCTTTGCTGGATGATAGCTGTTTAGGGATAGGAAAGAATACAAGACAGAAAACAGCATGTATTTATTTTAATAAGTAAAACATATGATCTATGCCTTTTAGCCAAAATTTCTCTAAAACTTGAATTCATTATATCTGAATATCAGAGACAGAAAACTCAAGCACACAAATAATAACATAAAATACCTGCATCATCATACGTCTTCTAACTGTGTCAAAGGGGTAAGAAAGGATTCCAGAGCATGTAGTCACAACTTGAGCAATGAAAAAGGAGACAACGAATGGGGTTTCCTTTGGTTTTGGTAGTAAGCCCTAGAAAAGAATAATGTATCAAGTAACCATCTAAATTTCTAATATACTTTAAATCCTAAGTTAAAAGATAATTCTCACAAATATACAACCAAGGGCTCAATTATACTTAAAATGCAGTAAAAAACAGTTGGATTTAATGTGGGAAAATTAAAATATTGTAATAGCAGGGTATCAGTAAGAGAGGAGAATACTTCAAAAACATATTTGAAAAAGAAAAGCTTATTTGCTATTATAATTGATTTGTTACTAATGGCTCTGAAAACTAGGGGAGATAGTAATAGTGACCAAAAAAGTTCTTCCATGGCTCTTCACTGACCTGAAAAAAGTGAAAGAATGCTTGCTATTATGATCAACAGGTAATATTTCATAAGCAGCTTTAAAGCCCTAAGCTATGGCAGAAACAGTTCCAAATTTCACAACTACTACAGGGGATAACAGAAAAAAGCAGGGGGAGTGTACATATAAATTTTTCTGCCATTAAATAAACATATGTAAGATCCTGTAACGTCTGTTAACTTATCTATCTAAAAAATACATTACAACTAAAAGTAACATGCTGAGACCACAATAAAAATGACATTCAACTGCATTTATAATGATGGAAGGTAGAGATAATATATAAAACTATTATAAAATTTCCTTTAACTTTTAATCTTATTTAGTAAATAATACTGATCTTAATTTCATTGCTTCCTTTTGGAAGCATTATGACGTAGTGATTAAGAACACGGGATTTTTGCTTGCCACTTAAATAAATTACTTAACCACTCCTAGGTTATTCACCTTTAAAGTGGGGATATTAAAAGCTATCCTAGAGCACTGTGAAGATGTAAAGTACTTAAAAAGATTCATAGAGCTAAATAATGGCTCAAAAAATTGTACCCATTATTACAATATTTCTCCTTCCTACCTTGTGGAACTGCTACTAAAATCTGAAATGAAAAGGCAAATTGCTGAAACAACCTGGAGAATACAATATAGAATCTAACAATTCCCAATAGACACCTGAGCTACAGCAGCATTCAACTAATTAATTATGCCTTGCCTACTTTCCAAAAATGATTTGGTAAATTGTTTATTTGCATTTAAAAAAGTGAAAATAAAGTGAATGTAAAATCAAAACAACTCTGTTAGAAGAAGCCTTTCTATATGCCAAAGATTTGATTATGATGTAAGCCTATTTAGATGTTTCATATTTGTAATTTGATGCATAGTGAGTCTTTCAGTGCAAACAGCACAAAACTTAACATTTGGCTTAATGCTTTATATCTAAAGTCAGAATCACAATAGAGCTCTAATTTAATTAGGTTGTGGCAAAGTCACAATTAAACAGAGTTCTGTAACATCTTATTTCATCATTCATTTTGATCTCTATAATTAAAAGAAAACATATCTGCTGAATGTATTACTAATTAGAAAAAAAAGAAACAAACCATTTGTTTAATATATACTAGTTAAAGCCCCGAATTACCTTAACTGTGTCATAAACTCCAAAATAAGAGGCTCGGTACACAATGATGCCCTGTACTGAAACACCAAACCCTTGGTATAAACCAATAATTCCATCTGATTTTGCTATTTTCATAATACAGTCACCTAACCCCTTGAATTGTCGTTCTTCGGGACCTAAAATAAAGCCATTTAAAGTTTATTAGAAGCATTATATATTATACATAAAATTTAATTAAATATTCTACAGATTTAAATTATTTGGAATTACCACTAGGAATCTAACAAAAAGGACACAAAATTCTCCCATTCATTAAAAAATAATTAAGATTTCAAGTAGTATCTTAAAAAATTTTAACTGATAATATTAATCTCTTATAAAAGCAATCTAATTCAAGCAATTTGAATGGTTTAAAACATTTTAATAAAATTACCATAAGTTACTAGGAATGTAATTACTAGGAATGGAGAAGTTCTTAGTTTTCATTAAGAATGAAAAACTCTACAACTTGCTTCAGTTGAAAAGCAAAAAGATAAAGGAAAAAGACAAAGCTAAAAACTAGTAACTTAAGGATCATTAACATTTTAGATGAGGTGTCACATTTTTCAAGTGTTTGTTGGTTTTGTTATTTTCCCTTGACCTAGAACTCTGACAATATTTGAAAAACATTACATGTAGAATATAACCTTTTAATATAAATTAAATTCTCTCAATTTTGAGAGAAAATAAAACTATAGAACTGAGCTTCAAGCAAGATACATGTTATTTTCACTTCTTTAGCAATAATAAGAAAATTTGGACTGCCAGTTAAACATGATAGATAGAACTCATATCTTCATCTTTGCTCAAACCGCTACCCATTCTGAGGCATTTTCTGTGATTACTTATCTTAAATTGATGTCACTCCCTTCACCTAAATTTTGTTTCATGGCATTTATTGCTAAGTGACAGTATATTTTTGTCATTAATTTTTTATCACTTGTGTCCTGCACTAGACAGTATATTTTTTTCATTAATTCATTTATCACTTGTGTCCTGCACAAGGCAGACAAGCCATGAGCTCCATGTTTTGTGGTGTGTGTGTGTGTGTGTCACACATACACATCTTGTATCTGAGGCAGGGCCTGGTTCACAGCAGGCACTAAAGAAATATTTGTGAAATGAACCTCTGCTCTCTTAAGACATTCTACTAAAACAACAAAGGAATAAAACAGGATTAAATCCATACAAGCAAAAAAAAACAGTACATAACAAAATAAAATCCACAAATTATAGCAAGACGGAAAGCGGGTAGAGGAATCAGAGAAAGCTGAAACCTACTTTCTTGCCAACGGGGTATTATTGAGAAGTGAGCCATTTGACCCCAATAACCTCAGAAAGACTTAGAAATTAGAGTTACTAGGTACTAATCTTGTGGTGAAAGCAAAGTAAAATCTGGATGCTCAAAATCCACAGCCTCGCCCTGAGCATGAAGTGACTTACTCCTCTGCCATCCTCAGAACTGAATGCAAGGCTCCAGACTTAATGTGGAGCTACCTCCACGGTCACTGAAAGAAAGACTCACACAATGAGATACATCTTGTGAAATGTCAGATCTTCAGGGATATAAGGTATGTAAAAAGAAAAAAAGGCACATGCAAAAGGATCAGCTGTAAGAGATTGATTTCTTAAGAGCAATGTAGAAACTAGAATCCAGAGTTAATACTTTTAAAATTGTGTAAGAAAATAAGTTTAAACCCAGAATTTTATATATGGTTAAGTATTAAGAGGGTAAAACAGACATTTTTAGACATGCAGGACCTCAATTTATCTCCTAGTCCACTCTCTTCACAAAGCTCAGAAAGCTACCACAGTATAATCTGCCAAAACACGTGTAACAAAAACATAGGACGATGTGGTAAACAAGTGAGGGCAGAGGCAAAGGGAATTTCTAGGGGAAGAGCTGTACATCTGACCCAGAGAGGAGTCATAGTCGAGATAGGAAGAAGTGCATGGAGGGATCTAGGAGATGGCTCTCTAGGAAAAAAAGGAAAATTATAAACAATTTTGGTGTTTGCTCTTTTGTTACTACAGTGTAGGCCTTCCCCTTCCCTCTTTTATGAAAAAAGAAAAAGCAGTAATCTTTAAGCCCTATTGTTACAATAAACAATACGTTGTTCAAAACACGAAGAGTAACAGTATTTCTAAAAATCTCATACCTTTTCCAATATCAGCACCTAATCTGGTTCGGGCAAAATCTAGTGGATATACCACACATAAGGATGTTGCCCCAGCTGCTCCTCCAGAAGCCAGGTTTGCCAAAAACCACCTCCAGAACTGAAACACATTAATTAAAAAGTCATTATTAAACTACCGATTCTGCATATTTAAAATTATTTATATAAAAGTTAAAAAGATAGACATACATACTAAAGTGAACATCTATAATAATGCATATCATATTATCCAAAATACATCTCTTCATGTCCATGTAGCCTGTTTCTTACCAGGCAGTCTGGGAGGTAAAGTTTAGAGGCTGACATACTGAAATTCCAAAATACTTTAATGGGGCTGGCCGAGTGGCGCAATGGTTAAGAACTGGCTTGGGACACCAGAGGACCCCAGTTCGGAACCCACATGTGAGGGCCAGTGACACTGCCCTCCACAGCTAAGATGCTGAACAACAGCTCAACCTGGAGCTGGGCTGTTGGGAGTCACGGATGGCGTAGGCTGCACCCCTTGTGGCAGTGGGTTGCCACGGGCTACCGTGTGTAGCCAGCAGCCGCTGTGAGCGGCTGTCCAGAAGCTGGTGACTGATGTGTCTCGCCCGGGAAGAGCGCAATGATGGTGCCAACTTGGGCAAGTGGAGCAACGTCCTCCACAACTAGAGTAAAGAACAAAACGACAGCAACTTGTCTGTTCCCCTTCCCCCAATTTCCCAGCACTGTTCCCATGCCCCCAATTCCCCAATAAAAATCTTAAAAAAAAAAAAAAGTCGACAGTTTCTCAAAACAAAACTGGAAAAAAAACAGAAAAACTTTAATGGCCTCCAGCAAGAGTAGCCCAAATTTACAAAGAAGGCCACATACGATAATCATCTCTTTAAACTGTACACGTTTTTTGTTAATAACAGTGTTAGTTATGACTAAAATGTCAGGCATCTATGGAGACTTTAGTTGTGCCCTTTTTTGGAGGGGGGCAGCAATACTCTAACATGCCACTATTCACTTTGTAATGTTAGTAGAATTAAATTTAAACAGTTCAAAAATGCATATATTACGTTCAAACGCTGACATGAAAATTGTCACAAATCAAAGTGACATGTAAGTTAGGCCTTATTGATCTACTGGTTCACATGGGCTGTTGAGGTTCTTTTGAAAAACATTTAAAATGGGTCCTACTTAATTAGGTCTAGTAAACTGCTTTTCAACATCTAGAGTTTACTGGAGAAGAAATGAATATTTGAATTGGAGCTGTTACAGAAAATCTAGGGTACAAGGTCACTGTAGCCATTAAATGCATTAAAGTGCATGATATTCTAATCAAGCTCAGTTTCTTGCTTTATTCTCTGGCTCTTATTTCTAACAATAGCTTTGAGTCTCAGCTTTGGAACTCTCAATTTTCTCTTGGCTCGGAATGCCCTTCATGTCCCTTTTTATTTCTTCTATCTTTTTAAAATAAGTTATTGATTTATGTTCCAATTCAAATTCTACTTCTTCCCTGAAATCTCTGATCTCCAACCCAACCAAAAGTGTATGTAATAATACCTTCTTCTCATGAATACTTTATCTCTCAGAGAATAAAGGTTGAATCATTTGACCAATATGTAGAATGTGTCAACATGTTCCAGGTTCTCATTTTTTTAAAATACAACTTACAATCACTTTCTACTTTCAATTTACAATTATTTGTGTACATGCCTTATCTTACCTCCTCCAGACTATAAATTTTTAAAAATTATTTTTACTTAATAACCTTACTAACTTAACAACTAATATATTTATATTCCATACAATTCACCCATGCCAAGTATTCAATTCAGTGGATTGTTAGCATACTCACAGACTTGTACAATCATTACTGTTGGAAGCTGGCTGCACCTCAGTTTCTGACAGGGCCTAGCACACTGCTATTGTTACAAATTCTGAAGCTCTGACTGAGAAACAGATACTGCTTTATGTCTTGGAAAATTTAAATTCCCCTTTGGATGCCCCCAGTAGGATAAAGATCTGACACCCCTTCTTATATTATTTACTTTAACCAAATAAATGAGTTTGACATATTACGATAATTCTGTTTTACTGTTAGTTTCTTAATGATAGATTCTTAGTGATAGACAAGTTATGCACCTTATAATTCTTAAAGATCCTGTTTAGCCAGTAGTGTTTGAAACAATTGCTAAGTAGTAAACATCCTTTAAGTGCCAAGGTAGGAACTGGGCTCTGGCCATTTTGGTAGAAATTGAAACATAATTAGGATAAGTTAGTCATTAGTATAGAACAGATCTGGCTGTACCCTGTAATAGAAACATCATGAGGAAGTAAAACTCTGAGAAAAACAAACTTCTAAGGAAAATAGACCCTGGGAAGGAAGGAACATTGAACTATGTAGCAAACAATTTCCTAATGGGTAAAGGTTTAAACTTGGAAAAACAACTCTGGAAAAAACAGCTCTATATGTAAATAGTCAACTGCCCAGTATAAAAGGGACATGCTATAAGAATAAAGTGAGACACTTCTCTTCTTGAAAAAGCGCTCCTGTGTCTCCACCCGTTTTTCTTCTTTTCCTCGCAGAAGCCGCCTCCACCTGAGGGAACCCCTGGACCTGCTGGAGCCGCACATTACTACGTTCAGGACATTTTTTATCACCCCAAAAAGAAACCCTGTACTCATTAGCAGACAACTCCATGTCCTTTGCTGGCTCCCCCAAGAGCCATAGGTTAGGTAACCATTAAGCTACTTTCTGTCTCTGTAGATTTGCCTATTCTGGACATTTCCTACCCATGGAATAACACAATACATAGTTTTTTGTGACTGGCTTCTATCATTGAACGTAACGTTTTCAAGGTTCATCCACATTGTAACATGTGTTAGCACTTCATTCCTTTTTATTGCCAAATACTATTCCACTATATGGATTTATCACATTTTACTTATCTATTCAGTTCATGAATAGATTGGTTGTTTGCATTTATTTTGAGGCCAGGATTCTTCCATTTATTTCACAAAGCAAGTCCTGGGCCTTGCCCTGAGTAGCAGTAATGCACGCAATAAATATGTGTTTAATGAAGGGTACTAGGAATGCCACTTCCTATCCTCAGACTCCCATGGCTCCTTTTTAAAAAGTGAAACTCATAAGTGCTGCATTGATAGCCCTGTTTCATAATCACACAGAGATAATTGGGTCAGCAGATAGCATCTGACCCTGGGGTACCTAACCTATAGACTAGTACATGATGTGTAACCTGGAAGAAAAAGATGAGCTGGGCCAGTGTCTATTTCTTAGGAATTTGACTCTAGAAATGCTATGACAGTTAACAGTAAGGACAGAAATGGAGAAGGTATAAAATAACTTTTTTTAGGTCTCAGTCTACTTTGAGGCTATTGAAGGCTATAGATCCTCTTCCAATAACAATCACCTACCTATCTAGTCACTTTAGCTTAGAGAGGAATAGAGTGAAGTAGAAGGATGAGTTTGGGAGTTAGAAAGACCTGAACAAATGACTCAGAAAGTGCTTTAAGCCCTGAGTCTTGTTTTCCTTAGCTCTACATTTGGAATAAAATAACCACCTCAAAAGGTAAGGTGAAAATCTGGTGAAAGATATATGTGTATAGTAGGTACACACCTTCGTAAAAGTTATTTTTTAAAAACTTATTAATACAGAGTCTGTAAACTCTCCAACTGATTCCTCTCATTAGTAATAAGTAATGTGACAATAGTAGAGGAAATTAACATTGGTAACACCCGTCTTATTCAGATTTCACCAGTTGTACACACACTCATTGTGTGTACTTAGTTCCATGCAGTTTTATCACACGTGCATGGGGCCACCACCACACACAGCTGCTTTTCAAGACCCTGCTAGGACAGCTTGGCTTGTTGATTGCTTGGGGGAAGAGGAAAAGAGAAAGGATGAAGGAGAAGAGAGCCTTTGTAAGGCGGAAGAGAAGACCTTGAGAGTAATGTAGATGGCACAGTGTATATGGAGGCAGCAAAACAAATAGAAACCAGGAAAATGACAGAGTTCATATGAGAAGGAAATTTTGAAATTGAGAGTTTGTAACCACAGGAGTGATTACCTTGAATAGAAAAAGCACCTTTGCAATAAAAAAAAAGAATTCTCAAACTTAAATTTATCATTTTCCTGTTTTGTTTGATTTGATCTTCCTATGCACTTTAATCTCAGCTAAAAAGATCCTTAGTCATAAAGAAGAAACTATTTTTTTAGGGAATAATTACTTCAGAGGTAGGAATACATATCACTTGACTGTTTTTTATTTGCTTAATAAAAGCAGATAAAATGCTTAATTTTCCTAGTGCAGTAAAATAGTGATTATAAAATGTAAATTACATTAAAATTAATATTTATTCAGAGAAATATTGTCTTGAGACAAAAGATCCCTTAATTATTAAAACTCTGTTAAAAGGTTTAGAGAAGCTTTTAAAAGTTAATATAATTTTTTTCATATATAATTTCTATAATTTAACACATATTATATAATATGTTAAGTTACTGTTTTATTATTTTTTCCACCACTTGAGCACCTCCTCCCCAAATAAAACATCACAGAAAAGACAAATCCAACTATTTCTTAGAAAATTTCAGAGCTATTCAAATATGTTTACTTGCCTGTTTTTCTTTATTAACTCCAGACATGAAAAGTTGTTTATATTTGTCCTTAAAAGCAAAATTTAGAGCTTGTGTTGGAAAATACCGGATAACATTTGCCAAATTACCACGCCAAAAACTGAAGAAACCTACAAAAGAAAGCATACTAAATATAAACTTATATTGTATTATTATTAAATAATTCCCATAGTTTTAACAAACAGCTATTTGAATTATCTAAAACTAAATCCCTTTCTCCTGAGACAAAAATAAAGTTTAGGTATGTCTACCCTGAATTAAAAAGGCAGTTTATTTAACTCCAGGTGCTTCATTCCAATTTCGTTAATTTTCAATAAAAAACCTTGAATACCTAAGAACCTATGTAAAGCATTATCAGTTGAATATAAGGCTCTTTACTAATAGAAAAACAAAGGCCAAGAGTATTTGTCAGAGAAGCTAGTAACCCTTAGCCTCACTTCCAAATCATGATATACAATTCCTAATGTGGTAAGGCTGCTGGAACAAAACTGGTTTGTATACATACTTATGAGAATGAGAAAGGGACAGAAGAGTCTAAAGCATCCTTATCTTTATATTCTGGAACCGAGACAGAAAAGGGATCGATTTACTATTCAAGGCAGCCTCCAGAGGCCTGCTGGAGAGACTGGAGGAAACTTTCAAGGTCAGTTATCTTCCCTCTTCAAATCTCCATGGATTGACCACTCCTAATATGTGTTACTCTTATAATTCAGAGCTGCACATACAGAGTTGGAAGATCATAAAAGCAACTAAAGAATAGAGTAAATCAGAATAGCATCAGTCAGGGTAAATCCAGAGTCTTTCATAACCCAAGGGGAGCTTATAAAAAGACACCCGGAAGAAATGTTTAAAGCTATGCTCAAAGCCAGAATGAAAAGAGCTATCCTTGGAGTGGAAAAAAGAGATAAGGTAAGAAGATAGTGAGAAGATAGCTAGTGGTGCCTTCTGAGTTCATGTCTCTTAGACTCATTCCATGTTGCCTAAATAAAAGTTAGTAAAATTATAGCAAACATGACGAGAAACTTTAGAATACTTGAAATGGGAAAAGAGACAGAAGGCAAATTCCAGAAAGTATCAATCTCAGAATTTGATTGCCTAGTAAAGTTCAAAAATAATCTAGCATGGTAATTCTCAACCAGGCTCAAGCCCACTCTATATTATAATTTATTGAAAATACTTTACTATCTAGAAATAGAATTCAAAGACAATTTTCTCTTCATCAATTCAAAAAAATATCAATATAGTGCCCTCACTGTTATATAGAAAAAGAATTTAAAATATGTATTTTAATTATAAAGAGAAGAACCACACTATAGACATAATAAATGCTTCTACTTCAATGAGTTAACTTAAGATGCATATTGACATTTGGAAAAGGATTCAGTACATATATTTGTACAATCATCAAGAATTAAACAGTTACATATGCAGACGATGTAAGTGGTACACAAGCAGAGTTGCTGTCATGAGTTTTCACAATGAAGAACTCTCAGTAAAATCCTGAACAACACCAAGTACAATCTTCCCTCTACTTACATGGTAGCTGCATTACTAGAATCAGTCTATACTAGAACTATGCCCCAGAGAGCTTGCGTTTATAAGTAAATCAGAGTTAGGTTGGAGGCTTAGATAATCACAAACAGGTTTTACTGCTACACGAGTGTCCAGTGGAGAATCTGAGTCATTTAAATGCAGGATATATCTTCTGTGTGTACGACTGGCCATGTGTAGCAGCAGATGTTTAGCATCCCTGACTTTGCCTCTCACATCACTGCAATTAAAGACTACACCCTTCTCTATAGCTGTGCTAAACAAAAAATTCCCCACAAGTCTCCAAGAAAGCCCCTAGATGGCAATATTATCCATGTTTTGAATTCCTAACCTCTTAGCATAGGAGACATACCCTGGTGTATTCATAAAAAGGCCTCGTACTCGTATCTAATAGAAAACATCTTAGAGTTCTGCTATGATCATCTCTGAAAGTATAGAAAGCAGGAACTGGAACACTATTCAGAATGATCTCAATTTACAAGAGGCATATTGAATATATTTAGGCTTAAATATTACAAAAAAAATTTTAAATATAAAATAAATTAGAACTGGTCAGCACAATCTGCCCAGAATATTTAACTTTACGTGACTAAATATTTAAAGCAGATTAGCTAATAATAAAGTGCCCCCCCCCCTTCTCTGAAGAGGTCTTAGAAGATAAACTAAGGATAGTTTCCTACTTTTCCTATAAAAACCTTGGGGGGAAATGGGAAGCCTGCTCTGATAAAATCAATGGGGTAGGGAGATGTAAGCCACTAAGTATGAAAGATCTGAGCTCACTCCCAGGTGGGCATTGTAAATTCAGTTTAGATGGTGCCTAAGTGTTGGGAGCCGGCTGCACCTCAGTATCTGATATGGCCTAGCACACTGCTATTGTGACAAGTCCTGAAGCTCTGGCTGAGCAACAGATATTGCTTTATGTTTTGAAAAATTTAAATTCCCCTTTGGATGCCCCCAGTAGGATAAAGATCTGACACCCCTTCTTATATTGATTGTTTTATTTTCTTTAAATAAGTGAGTTCTGTTTTACTGTTAATTCTGTTTTACTGTTAGTTTCTTAATGATAGATTCTTAGTGATAGACAAGTTATGCACCTTATAATTCTTAAAGATCCTGTTTAGCCAGTAGTGTTTGAAATAGTTGCTAAGTAGTAAACATCCTTTAAGTGCCAAGGCAGGAACTCAGCTCTGGCCATTAGTGGAAGAAATTGATACATAGTTAGGATAAGTTAGTCATTAGTGAAGAACAGATCCGGCTGTACCCTACAAAAGAAACATCGTGAGGAAGTAAAATTCGGAGAAAAACAAACTTCTAAAGAAAATAGACCCTGGGAAGGAAGGAACATTGAAACTATGTAGAAAACAATTTCCTAATGGGTAAAGGTTTAAACGTGGAAAAACAACTCAATGACGTAAATAGTTACCTGCCCAGTATAAAAAGGACAGGCTGTAAAAATAAAGTGAGACATTAATTCTTGAAAAGCGCTTCTGTCTCCTCCTTCTTTCTTCGCCGACTCGGTCTCCACCTAAGGGAACCCCTGGAATTGTGGGAGCCGGTCTCACGCACCTAAGAGTCTACCTTGGACCCTAAGTGCTGCACCCAACAGGTCAAGTAGAATTGTAACCACATCCCTAGGGACAGAATGTATTTTTATGAGACAGTAACCCACCCTAGACTTAGGAGTGGAAAAAAAGACTGCACTGGAGTTGAAGTCACTTCACTTTTTGTTCAGAATACAGACACAATAAACGGGATACAGACACAATAAACGCGTCTATTTCCTTTTTAAAGTTTATATAGTTTTCAGTTGAATCCAACTATATGCATGAATTATAGAAGCTTGTGATAAATTTATCCTCATATTCACTGAGATAACTTAGGAGCCATTCTGCAATAGGGCATCTAATGGTTAACAAAGCACTTTATTCTTTGAAATAATTTCAATATTAATGGAAAAAAAACCTCCACAATAAGCGAAACTATCAAATTTTAAACAGGGTCTGATGCAAAAGAAAAACTGGTAATACTGATCCTGTCTTTATTGAAAATTTTGATATTCTGCTCATCTTGGAATTAAAAAAGAATACCGCATTAAACTATCATTTGTCTTCACTGAGTTATTTTGCGCCCCCCTCAAATTTGTGCAGAGGTTGGTGCCTCGTAAGTCTCAGCCCTAGTCCTCAGTAGTTCTCAGTAATAAGCACAACCTATTCACTGATTAGGAACAAGAGCACTGGGAGGCCAATGCTTCCATATTTGGAATACTTCTCAAACGTGACATTTCAATAAATATTTAAACATTTTAAAGCACCTGTTAACATACAGCAAAGTGCCTAATGGATCTCCCCCAGTCTTGGGAGGTCAACCACTGCCTTCCGAGCCCGGCATGGCGCGCCATGATGGGAAAACCTGTTGCGAAGGTGAAATTTCGAGAAAGAAGGTGGTGGTCTCCCCTGCACCAGGCTTCGTCATGTGCAGGCCTTCTTGACCCTGTGAAAGCAGAGTCTCTTAACGTGGTTAAAAAACTGAATTCTCGAAGATGAAGAAACCAACTCATTACCCAAATCGTCCCGGCCCGGCCCACCCGCTTTTCTGGGAAGCTGACCGGGTTGGGAAGAGGGGGCGCAGCGGCCGCCCGTACGCACCCTGCTCGCGGGGAATCCGCACCAGACAGTCCACCATGCCTTTGTACTGCGCCTCAGGGCTTATCTGCTTGGACGACGCCTGCACCTGCAGCAGCAGCTTCACCCGCTCGATGGGCGCCACCGCGGTCTTGGACACAGCCGCCGCGACCCCGCCTGCCAGCAGGTCCTTCCCGAAGGACGCGACGTCAAAGAGCCGCTTGCCCTCCTTCTCCGGCTTCTTCGGAGGGTCACGCTGCATAGTGGGACGACGGAAGTAAAGCCCCGGGGCAGCTAAGTCAGAGCAAGCGCGAGAGAGACGGCGAAAGCAAGGCCAGAACAGCTTCAGCGTCGTCTGGCGGGAAAACGGCGCTCAGGACGCTGGGAGAGCAGCACAGCATTGTGGGGGCCGGAGCTGCGCATGCGCCTCCAACCGCCTTCCGCCACCTGGCGCTGTTCGCGTGACTGCCGACATGCGGTTCGGCGCCAAGCTTTTCTTTGCTTGGGGCAGCGCCCGGAGGCCTTCGGTTTTGAGCCGGTAAGGTGCAGGAAGGGGCCCCGGGAGCTGTTTCTTCTGTAGAAGGGTTGTTAGCCGCCAAAGCTAGAACCGAGCAGTAAGCCAACCCTCTGGAATCAATGGAGTTTAGTTTTAATTCCCAGGGTTACTCTTCCATTTTCTCTTAGATTTAATTTAACAGCGGCTGTTTGTCTAGTCACATTCTCACTTGTTTTGCTGATGGCATCCCCGTAGCATAATTCAACGTGTTCTTTCTCCTGTGTTTTATCGAAATTGGTAGTTCTGTCTAGAGCAGTTCTCAATCCAGACTGCACGAAGGAGACGGGGCAGTGGCGTTTAATTTTGTTTAATGCTTGGGCTTAGGGAATTGTAATGCGCAGGCCACCAGTGATCTCTTCCGGAACAGTGGCTCACAGACTTTGATTTTAGGACCCTTTTTCACTCTTAGATTATAAGACCACCAAGAAGCATCTGTGTGTGTGTGTATGGATATTGACCATTTCAGAAACTGAAACAAAAATATTAAATATTCAAAAGAATACATATTTTAAAATGATTTTTAAAGCTAGTGAGAAAAATAGCCTTGTTTTATATTTTTGAAAATCTAATGTGACTGAATAAAAGACAGCTGGACTTACTACATAACCGCTTTTTAGTCTTATGCAGTGTCACACAGCATCTATTAATAGCTGGAAAACTCCACTTACACTAATGAGAGTAAGAGTGAAACAGGCAGATAATGTCTTAGTATTATTAAGAGAAGGTTTGGCCTCATGGAGTCACAGGTGTTTTGGTGACACCTGCTGCCCTCCCATACCACACCTTAAAAACTCATCTGAGGCTTAATCAGATTCAGGTTTGACTTCTTTGGGCAGGAATCAGTAGATGTACAGCAATCCTGCACATCATGTCTGCCTCTATTTCCTTCCACCTTGCCTTTTTCAATGTGGATATCCTAGAGATCCCTCTGCAATAGCATGCAATATATTCCTGAGTCATTTTTATAGCTTGCTTGATAAATGATATAGCTTCTAATAAATGGAGATTCCATCTTCTCTTTTACTCTGTAGGGCCTGCAGAGTCTTGAAACGCACTGATAAAACATGAGGTGAGTTACTTTTTTTGAACTTTAGGTTCTAATTTTTTCATAATCTTAAATGTGCTACATTTTAAATATTATTTGTCACTAGTGAAAAACCAAATGTATAGGTGGAAGGATTCCAGAGTAGGAATTTTGTTAATATGTTGATTACCTCACATGAAACAAGTTGGGAAGTCCTACTGGTTGGGTGTTGTGTGCTCCTTTCCTTTCTCCGCTGTAGTGGCTTGTTTGACTCTGAACTGATTTTTCAGCCTCTAAGTCTCTCCATTTTACATGCTGCCGCCAGATTAATCTTTCTGAAGCAATTGCATTAATCATTATTCCTAGGCTTAAAAAAATTTAGTCTTATTGCATTGACTTCAGAATCCTTTGTGAAATCCATTGCAAATTCAAGAAAATACTGGTGTTTTCTCTGCAAAAACCTGAAGAATGAAAGCATTCAGTGTTTAAAGGATTTAGAAGCCTTAACAAGCACACAGGGGACTATTTAAGGGAGTGATTACTTGAATCACACTCCAAGATGCCAAGAGAGGTTGAAGGAAACATCTCTGGTCACAGGGAACAACTATCTCAGAGGATAGAAAAGCAAATGTTCTGCTGCTCCCCAGGGCGGTTTTCTCTTCTTCCTTACTGTCTTGTCTCCCTTTCCCCTCTCCCCTACCTTTGACTCTGTAGTTTATGTTTATAATATAGTATATAATATATTTATAATATATTATGTTTATAATATAATATGTTTATGATATCCTCCTGCTTATTTCTGGCATGTATTCACTGATAGAAGCCAGCCAAAGTGCAAGTACTGCAATACCTTGGTTTGAGAGCATAATTCATTCCGGAAACAAACTACTCATATTGCAAGACATCGCTCGTTTACCATGTTAAAATGTATTAGAAATGTTTGTTCGTCTTGTGGAACGCTCGCAAACCATGTTACTCGCAATCCAAGGTTTTACTGTACTTAGAAATGTAGGCCCCACCCCTTTTATTAAGAGCTTCTAATGAGCTCTTTTCAATAGACTAAGCTGAAAATGTTTATTTTAGCTTGTTGCATTGCATTTTATCTACTAATTTAGGGGGAAAAAAAGCACTGGTGCTTTATAAAGTTGCTATTTAAAGTATAGAGCCTCAGGATCTTTTTGCTGTTCACTCTGCTTTCCTTAGAAATCAGCCTGGTTAGTCTCCTCATTTCAGGTCTGGGTCACCTCAGTAACCCTTTCCTTGGCCACCCTCTCTCCCACACTCCATTTCCCATTTTCTTCATTTTGGTTCTCTTGGCTTTTATCACCATATTTTACTTATTTGTGTTACTTGTGGTCTGCCTCTCCCACTGGATCACAAGCTCCGTGAGGGTGGAGACTTTCAGCGGTTTTGTTCACTGCTGTATCCCCATCATCCAGAACACAGTAGAAATTTAATAAATATTTTTTGGATGAATGCATGAAAAAGCAACACAACTGCAAACAAACCTCCAAACCATCTTTATTAAAAACTATCAATATAGTATAAAAATAGCTTCAATTACATAGAATATAGAAATACAACTCTACAAAATTACATTATTTTCACACAGTTTAGTGCATAGATTAAAGTTTTAGTAACATTTAATAACATTTTTTAAATATCCGAAGTATAAATCCTTGTTCCCAAAAGTGTTTAGTGCTGAATACTTTTCCTCAGCTTCTTTCCCACATTGTGTACAGTAGCAGGTATGATTTAGCTGATGCCTTAGTTTTCAACCAGTGGATATTTAATAACAGTAGTAGTAGCTAACACTTTTATAGCATGTAACACGTGCCAGGCACTATTTAGAGGGAACTCACACAGACAAGTATTTTCAAGAGTGTTCAAAGCAGACAAACCTAGTAAATTATTTCATAGGTTTTTCCATTTGTATTAGAAATATAAAAAAGCAGGCACTGCAAATGTACCATCTTGCCTGTATGCATCACCATCAACAGTCCCTTGGCACAAATGAGAAACTCTCCCTTGCTAAGTACAGTTCTATAACGCCACAAAAAGAAACAAACCAATGAGAACTAAAGAAAGGTGAAGGAGGGAGGAGAGGGGGTAGAATCTAAGATGGAATTCTGGAGAGCTAAAAAATAGATGATGGTGATAAGACAGTACTTGATATCTTTTAAAATGAAATTTATATAATTTTGCATAAGTAGTCTTTGGTGAAAGGGACCATTTGCAGGATGTGAACAAATACAATTACGAATGTTTCCATACCTACTAAAGAGTATACCTCTGGGGTATCTGTATTGTTTCTCTGTCCCCTTTATTTAATAAAGTCACAGATAGGCACTTATTATCCAGTAATCAGATTGATCTACTTTCAGATATGAATTTGAACCTATTTGAAAAAATGGACTGCCAAGTTTACTTATAATGTTTTCTTCAATAACCATTTACAGATGGAAACCAAGATGATGTTTGGTTTTATTTCTTAAAAATGCAATGGCTCGAAGGACTTCCGGTAAGATGGCGGAATAGACAGACGCTGTGCCGACTACCTCCCAGGATCACACCAAAATTACAAATAATTTATAAGATATTCAACTTCGGAAGTTCCCTGGACCCTAGATGAGCAGAACCTCTAAACGAAGGACTTAAAGAGGAGGCCACGTCAAGTCCGCTGAAACTAATTCTAAAAAATGTGTATTTCATAATAAAAAATAATTAAAAGGAAAAAAAAAGAAAACACCCAAGGATGGCATCGCCTGTGAAGATAGTGGCGAAGGCCCCAGGGAAGCCTCAGTGTGGCATCCTATAATTTTAGGAGATGAGACAGAAGACAGTAGAATGGACCCAACGAGGTTCCCCAAGATGCAGGAATCACGGCAGTAACTCATAACCATGAGGGAGAAAGTTCTTTAGGATCATTCACAGAAGGTGTGGGGGATGAAATCAAGACTCTGTTGCGAGGAATTGAAGGTGACTATAACAAGATTTTTCTTGCAAAGAAAAAAAGATTCCTGAGGGATACTAATGCCTTCATAAAAAACATTAACCAGAAACTTGGGCAAACCAGGAAAAAGCAGAAGGAGCAAAGGCAGAAGATTTTTCATAAATATTCTAAACAGTTTCTGACTGTGTTTCAAGCTTTGGATATGGATGTGAAGAAAACCAAGGAAGAAGAAGAAAAACTGGCTGTTTTGCTTCATGAACACCAAAAGCTTTTTTACCAAGCTAGAGTGGCTCACACTAGGAGACTGAAAAAATTTGTGCATTTGTATTGCAGTTTCTTAAAGGGCGTGAAGGACTTGGACAAGGCTCATGAACATTTTCTTACCAGTGAAAATAGTGAATTGAGACAAGAAATGGCCAACTTGGAAAACAGAATCCTGGAGGAGGCTAAGGAGCATGAGCTGGCATTTATTCGAACGTCTCTTCAATCACTGTTATACTGATGACTTGAAGAAGGAATTTGAACCTAAGTTATATGATAAAAGTTTAGCATTAGCTACACTAAACCACATTACAGTTGTTTAACAATTTCTGCGTGAAATCGATGTATCTTGTTTGCCCTTAGCTTGTCTGTTAAGTGCAAGAATCTTTTTCTGTTAACTACCAAATGAATCCTAAACAGTTAAGTGGGTGGCAGCAATTCCACAGTTACGTGTATCACATTTTCAACCCTTTGGTAGTGCTGGAGACTTTTTCTCCCTAGCATTGTCAGTTAGCCTTAGCAATAAGTTGACTTAATTTAAAGCTTTGGCCCCAGCAATTCTGTATCAATCCCCAAAGGTACAAAACACAATGTGGAGGGC